GTCTCGCATATTTATCTGAACAATTAAATAAGCACTGCGGAATTATTTTTAAAAAATAAACAAAACATTGTTTCTTTGTCATATTTTAATGGTCAGTCAGCTTCGTGGTTATTTATTTTAATTTATTTAGTCAAATAATGCACATGCATTTATTATATCCACGATAAATAACACAGAAATAGTGAAAACACTTAAAAATATGGTACGAATGAGAGTTTCAGCTCTATTCTGTTCTATTTATAGTTAAGAGTTAACTGAAAACATGAGCTACTGATATTTAATTGCTTATAATTGAGTAAAAGAAATACCTTGTGTTTTATATGTTTTTTTTTTTTTTTTTTTTTTTTTTTTGTGGACATGCAGCAAAACAGATGTCTAAATTTTACTTGGTTTACCCAACATTACTTAAATCCAGGAGAAACTCTTCTGTTTACTAGAATCTTTTTTGATCCAGTTTGGATTTAAAAAAATGTCTTTTATTTGGTCATACTGGGTGCTCTAAATCTTTATGCATTTATGGACCAGGAAATATACCTTTTTTGGTCCAAAACAAGTATAAGTCTAGAAAAGCATTAGTAAAGGACTGCTTTTCTTGAGAAAAATGGACTCCTGAGAAAATAAAGAAGCTGTTTTTACCCACAAACATAAGGTTCTTGCTTAAAAGAGATATTAGCAGATTTTAAACAACATATTTGCTTAATTTCTTTATAAAAATGTGTTTGTCGTGCTTTCTTTAATAGAGACTGCTGAATGAAATGAGCAAGGCCTGCTTATTTCCTCTTCGTCAAGTCAACATGTGGGAGCCCTGTATCATTTATTTGGGTGGRGTGGTTCTGAATATTCAGATAATGAACGTTGATGCTTTAATCTGAGCTCAGCAGCTGCATGCCAAAAAAAAAAAAAAAAGGCAAACAGGAGAAGTAATTTTTCTGCCTGAAGACATTTTCTTGCACGCCAGCTGATCACTCCTGTTGGGACTGAGACGCTTATCAATCAAGCTGCTTATTGATCTGGTGACGTCATGGTGAAATGGACGGAAGAGGAGCGCGAGACCATCAGATCAGTTTGGGAGAAAGTTGATATCGATGAGACTGGGCCTCAGGTTATAGCGAGGTAAAACCTTTTATTGTTAGTTTTTATCTAAACTTACATTTAAAGGTTGTGTTTTTTATTTTTTGATCAATGTTTAAACAGAACATTTTTACATTGATATAGTTTAATTTGTGTCTTTTTTTTTCAAGCAAAACATCAGATGATTCTTTGTTGTCATAAATGCAGGAATCAACAAAGAAATGTTATTTTTGGACATACATTATGCAACAAAATCAGCTACGTTTCAGTAAGGTTCATTTTATTCTGAGATATATAAATAAACAGATAATAGTACAGTTGATAATTAAGCTGTTAACACTCAGCTAATTATTAAGTTACTGCAAAAGATGCAAAATTCACTGTTTACTTGAAATGTGAACCATTCATGTCTCTTTTTCTGTTCTCTTCATCATTTATAGTTTATTTTAAGACATTTGTCATTATGTTACGTTAAAGTTTCTTTTATGTTATTATAGGAGCAAGAAACAATTTGTGCTAGTTTATAAATATCCTTAATTGTAAATGTTACCAACTAAAGTGTAGTAGTTTTCATTTTTGATTTGATTGATTTGATTAATTTATTTAACAGGAAAAGATTATTGAAAACCAAGCCTGACTCAGCATAATTGCTGTTTTACAGCAGGTTCCTGTTCTGCAGCACATAAAACACTCAGAAATACAGCATCACAATCACATCATTATACACCATAGACACAAAGACAAACAAGCATACCAAATTTCAGGAAGGCAGCGTTTGCAAAATAGGACGTCTAAATATGAGCACAACAAAAAGTGTCCAGCAGATGGCAGACAAGATTCTTCTTAAAGGGCTGTAGTTTTGAAATGGACTTTATGTTTTGAGGAATGTCATTCCATGCTTTAGTATAAACATAGAAGAAAGACCTCTGGCCGTAACAGTTTTTAAAAGTTGGTAATATCAGTTGTCCTTTTGTAACAGATCTAGCTGAATGACCACTTCCAGAATTTGATTTGGGCAACAATGCACAGAGAGTTCCATAACTGGCACCTTGGAAGATCTGAAAATATAAATTAATACCACTATACAAAACACAATTCTGAAAAGTCAAGGCATCAGACAATGAAAGAACTGTACARTGATGAGTCCAACCAGGAAGTTTTTTATGAATTTTGTAGGCCCTGTTGTAGAGCCTAACTATGGGTTCTAAGATTTCATTTGTTGTAAGAGACCAAACAGGTAAACAGTACGACATGGTTGAGAGTATAAAGGCATGAAGATAGATATTTGAAACAGAAGATGTTAGATTGGATCTAATTTTTGAATAAACATATAATTTCTGTTTCAACTTAGTGATTAAGACGTACAGTACATGATCACGATAAGTCAAATGAGAATCCAAAGTAATTCCAAGATATTTGTAGGTAGTGACAATATCAAAAAGATCATTTAGGTCAGGCAGTGTGGGACTTTTCAGCTTTTGTGTTTTAAATGTCATTTTTATGTCTCACATGGACAAGATCTGACCTGCACATGTCTCCTGTTGAYAGAATTCTGATTGTTTACCCCTGGACAGAGAGATATTTTGGCACATTTGGRGATATTTTCACCAACAGTGCCATTCTAACCAACTCCAAAGTGGCCGCTCATGGGAAGGTTGTGCTGAGAGCTCTGGACAGAGCCGTGAASAACCTGGACAACATCRGGGAGACGTAYACTGCTCTCAGCAGGCTGCACTACGAGAAACTCAACGTGGATCCTGACACCTTCAAAGTACAAACATAGATTTGTACGATAAATAATGAAATGATGTGTGTTTGTGCAGGTTTCATGAAGCTGTTTTTTTTTTCACCCTGCAGCTGTTGGCTGACTGCATCACCATCACCATCGCCTGTAAACTCAGGTCTGCGCTGGACCCTCRGGTCCAAGTAACCTGGCAGAAGTTTCTGTCTGCTGTGGTTGAAGCCATGAACAGTCAATACAAATAAAACAAAACATGTTCTTCTTTCGGCKGTTGCCTCTTCATCGTCTTCTGCATCTCTGTCCTCACTCCAACTCCACGCCCTCTCTGCATCCATAAATTTCATAATAAGTTGCAGAAGTTGCAAACATCCTTAAATGTCCCTCCTCTGGACACGTCCAAATCATCAGCCTCCTTCATGCAATCCTTCAACCTGTGCTGTACCTGTGAAAACCTCTTTCCTGATCTTATCCATCCTCACCACTCAGGAGAACTCTCAGTACCTCGAGTTCATTTGTTCCACAAACTATGAAGTTCCTTTGTAAAWGTATTTCTCTGATTTACTGTTAAATCTTGAAGCTTTGTGTAAGATGTTTGGCCGTGGATAAAATRTGCCTGTATTTGTTCTTCTATCATGAATCCATTTCCCCACTGGGATAAATAAAGATTTTTATCTTATCTTATCTGAACCTTTGTGAACATTTCTTATAGCCTCACTTTTCCACCTGCCTCCCTCTCATTCTCTCATATCTATTGTCTTGATATGACTTTCAGTCTTTTCATTTCAAATGCATATCTCTTCGAGCATTCAAGTATAAAAAATGAGTATTCTGAAGAAATATGAAGAATTATAAGTGAATTCATGCTAATTGTTTTTTTTAATTGATGTCTTTATTCTTATTTCATTTTTAAATGTTTTAAGTTGTTTTGATTTTTTTTGTTGCATTTTTACTTTTCTTTTGAACGAATTTTGGGTATAAAAAGGGGCAGATATTATAAGATTTATTCTTCTTCTGCTGCCTTTCATTTTGTTTGATTCTATTTTGATTGCATGTTTTTCTGTATTATTTGTTTTTCTGTATTTAGTTAATCTGTGTTACAAATGAAATGAATAAAGAACTACTACCACTACTACTACTACTCTTCCAGTTAGGTTTCTTCCTAATTATTTACATGTCTGACTCCTGGTGGTAAAAAGTGGTACTACAGCTCACTGAGAAAAGAGAAAATATATTATAACTCATGATGTAATTCTTAAATAGCAAAATGTTCTACATTAAAAGATAAATAAAATGTTATAGAAATTTGCCACAGTACAAAAAAGTAAATAAATAAATGCAAAATGCAATAAAAACAATTCAGATTAAGATAACAAGCGGGTTGTTAACGATTATCTTTTTTATTCTTCAATGAAATAAAGAAGAAAATAAATAGCAGTTTCATCTTGAAAAAGAAAAATCTAGACTTATTCATCACTTTTCAGATTTTAGAGGTTTTATTAAAATATGATGTTAATTTGAGTTGATTAACGYGTGTTTTGGTGCAAACAAAAATAAATATACACACAAATAAGTCCTCCAACAAGGTCCAACAATGAGCACAAAGCTCTTCTTTAAATATTGTTTTTTTTATTAATGATTTGGTTTATATTTCTGATTACTGGGTTTAATTTTTTTTTTATTTTGTCACTTTCATTTATTTAAAAATACATATAAACAATTGAACCAATAACACTAAATAAAGGGGATATGTTTGTCTAACCACAAGATGGCGCTCCTGTCACACAGTCCATGGATGCKTTTTGTTCTCTAAAGTTACCCTCATCATCATCATCATCATCATCATCATCATCATCATCATCATCATCATCATCTGCTTCAGTCAGCTGGTGTTTTCTGGATGCTTAAGTTTTTCAGATATTTAATTTTTTTAGACCTTGTCACCTGAGAATAATTTGATGATAAAGCACAAACTGTATTAGCAGGATCAGAGTCTTATAAATGAGTCAGGATGAGGATTCATTTGTTGACATATGCAGGTTAACAAACGTCAACAATCCAATGAAAATTTCAGGATGAGAAGAAACCGTTTGACTCACTATATGTATAGATTTAATAACGCTGTTTTAACAGAAAGAAACYTSCWGCAGAACCAGAACCAGGCTCAGGACGGACCTCGACTGGCTGGGTTTGTGGGGACAGGAAAGAGACAGAAACACAAAAGAACTGATCCAGGTGTAATGTCAAAGAAAACGCATGTTGCTGATTTAAATAATTACACCAAATGTAAGAGAGTGRCCAAAGACAGCAGCAGAGTCAGGACATGTGGTCAGTTTGTCCTCCAGCAGTAACAGCACAACCAAGGAATAACTCTAAAATATATATTTAGCTGTGGAGAACAGCTGGATAATCTCACTTCAGCAAACCTATGCTTTTCTTTAAGGTAGGGGTCAATAAAAAAACCAACATCACATGATCTGAAACTTCTAAAACCTCAGTGTAAAAGAACAAAACAGACAAGAAGGAAAYCTTTGAGCTGCCATGAGGTTTCAGTAAAGCATTATATCTGTGTCTTCTCTGTGGAGCCGCCTCATAAAGGTCTGATAAGACCAGAAACAAACGTTGGCAACAGTTTTCAGAGCGTCCAGCATCATGTTGTTTCCACTGATAAACTTTAATGAATTMCAGATTTGAAATCTGGTTTCCGTCAGTATAGATTTAATTTTAATCAGTCTTTGCCCAAATTTGATATTTTGGGGATGAATTTTGGTGATTATAAAAACATCCCTTCACAGATTATAAATCATCATACCATGTGGTGTGTGTCTAATTTAGTTATTTAAAACCTGCCTATCTTTTAGTATAACTTGGTACATAAAAAYTACAACATGTTTAACATGTCAGCAAAACCTAGTGAAGTCACCCTAAAATTTTAGAGTCAAATATATTTGTTTTGCCGTGTCTTCCATGAGCCTGTTTTCAGAAAGGTTGGAGAAACTACTGTCCAGATAATTATGACTCAAAGATTTAGGAGCTTCTAAAATGTTTGTTCTTTGTATTTAKTCACCCACATGTCATACCAAGAATCATTCTTTTAACAATCCTGACTGTAGACTCAAAGTTAATGATCATTTAATTTTTTTAAATGTTGACAACAGGCTGTTTACAGGAGCCATTCAAGAAATGATGCGTCAAAATAAGTGTTGTTATTAACTATTGACGTATAAAGCTGTAATGACCTCATGTCAAACAAGCCACCTTGCAATTTCTTTTTCAAAATATTGCATATTTTGTATTTTTCTAAAAAGAAATTTAAGGATTTTTATTTTTTTACAAAAATGTTATCAAAATTAAAGAAATAAAAAAAATTTTAATACAATATTTGTACAGTTAAGTCTGAAGTTGTCAAAAAGATTTGATGCAGTGGAAATTTAAAAACAATATCAATAAATTACATTTTTTTCTGGACTTTTATGGGAGGGACCATTTTGAGCCTTAATGTAAACAATGTAAGTTTATTTACAGTTTACTTCATGCCAAATATTCTCAAATATACGTTACACCTTAGTTTAAAAACTGCATATTTTGTGTTTTTCTCATTAAGAAATTTAAATCCCTTTTTTGACAAAAATGTTAATAATGAAAGAAATATTCAAAAAAATAATCAAAGATGTTAGAAGTTAGATGTTAAAAAGTAAAAAAAAGAATAAATTACTATTTTATTGAACTTTTTTAAGAGGGAACATTTTAGGACTTCAGCTAAAACATTGTAAGTATTTTATACACATGAGATCCATTTTACAAATATAAAAAACTAACGGCACAGACAACAGTAACACTTTAACTGTCTTTATTTCTTTACTAAATGAAGTCAAACACAGTTTGAGGGTCAAGCATCCTGTTGGCTCTTCATCTGTATTTCTCAGACAGAGCCAGGGCCAGAGCTGACAGGAACTTGTCCATGGACACGTGGATCTCAGGGGTGAAGTCTATGGGAAACATGATGGCCAAGACCACCAGGATGTTGTGGGCCAAGATCTGGAAAAGAAAGAAAAAAGGCTTAAATGTTGCAAATGAACACATGTGTGTCATTTCATAGCTGAACAGTGAGCAGTGAGTAGAGTTTCATGGCCCAGGTGTTAATCTCTTGAAGTACCTTGAAGTTGGCAGGATCCACTCTCAGGGTGAAGGCGTGCAGCTCGCTGAGGTTGAGGAGACCCGTGGTCAGATCATCAATTTTGCTCACAGCATCACTGACTCCAGACATGATGGTCTTCCCGTGCTTCCTCACCGGAGCAGATCCGGGGCTCAGGTCCTTCCAGTGGGCAAAGTAAGTCTTAGTTTGTGGGTAGACCATCAGCATCCTGAGGAAAACAACAAAACAACATATTAAATCTATTTAAATAATGAAAACATAATAGTCTGTATCAATAACGTTAAAGTTGTTTAACCTGTTCAGAGCATCTGCGCCGATATCGTCCACTCTGTCGGACACTTTGGCCCAGAAAGCCTTGACTGTGTCCTTGTCTTTAGGTGTCAAACTCATCTCGTCTGTTGACTTGGGTTGTTTTAGTTTCTTACTGGTTTGGTCTGGTTAGCACAAATATGAGCAGGGTTTTTATAGATGGAACTGGACCAGGACCCACCCGGGTCCACGTCAGAGATCTCTGAGCTCAGAGGTGTTTCCACTGATGTCTCATCAGATAAAACTCAAATAACGGTCAGCCTGACGCTTGAATTTACAAAGGAAAAAACTAAAACCTTGTCTAAAAACTTAATTTAATCTGATTAAACCAGAGTTAGAAATTTCTCTGACAGAGTTGACGTCCAGTTGGGAAAGAGTTGCAGAAAAAACTTAGATTGTAATTTACTTTTCTTTTGAACATATTTTAGGTATTAAAAAGGGGCAGATATTGTGAGATTTATTCTTCTTC